AGGCCAATTCAATGCTTTGGATTCGTATGCAGACGAAATTCTAAACTCGTCACCAAATTTCTTTTTCATCAGCCTGTAGGCCTCGCGGTACCCTTCGTCAGGTGGCAAATGATGACACGAATGTATGAGCTCCTTTATGTCCCCAGCAGTGTACTGTTCTAAGTAATACAGTCTTTCCGTACAAATAGACGTTCTTGATTCAATTAAGCTCTCGAAGGAACGAACAAAGGTGTGATACTCCAAAGGATTGCCATCAAATGTTGGGGCACGAGGCTGGGGAGGTGTGCTTTTGTTCTGATTGGCTGCCAGCATTTCCATGATCTGATTCTGCTGGATCTGCAGAGCATTTTGTTTTCGTTGCAACGTTGGGACGGAAACAGCAGCTCTGGCTTATGGCCATTAGGGTGCCAGTGGATTTAAAGCTGTATGGCTTTGCACGCGCGGAGGTGGACTAAATTCTTCTTTGCCATTAAATTCCCTCTCCAACTTCATGGGCTTTAGATTCATGGAAGGGGGTGGCTGTGTTACTATAGCTGCCAAGGCTTGTTCTTTTGCTGCTGTCTTTGCAATCTCGGCTTCTAAATCAAGACGCAACTCTTCCTGCTTTAGGCGGAACTTCTGCTCCTCCAATTCCTGTCTCTTCTTTAACATAGCTTGCTCTGCTTGGAGTTCTGCAACACAAACTGCTTCCTTTGCCCTGGCTAGTAACAGAGATGATGTGCGACTGGCATGTGAGCTGGCGCGACTTGAGCGTCTTGAAATCTTCCAAGCTTTGGAGAAAGTTTTCGCATCTGCACAGCTAACGGAATCGTCTGGGTTTAATTCGGAATTCACTTGACGTGAAACAGCCAAAAGGTTTTCTTCGAATCTCGAGATCCAGTCTAGTACTTGTCGACAGATTTCAGTAAACTTCTCCTCTTTGCGGCTGAAATACTCCGTGCACTTAGTCTTCTCTTCTTCGTTTACGAGTTCTGCTGCATAATTTCTGTGCTTCTCCAAACTTACGAAAGGCTCTATGCACATCCGCATACCAACATTGGCTAGCTGTGCTCTTGACTTGTAGTCGCATTATGAGAGGGTGAAGGCTGATGGCGTATAGGCCCATGGCAAGTGGGTTGCCCTGCGTAGTGCCTACGGATGATCTCAGTTCCTGTCTGCCAACAATGAAGAGGCATGCGGGCTCCCTGTCAGTATTTATTGCGTAGGTCACTATTGATGGGCATAACACTCTAATATTATGCAGGGCGGCGGCTCTGTTCAAGGAGTTGAAGGCGTTCGACGCATCTATAAGCAGAACGGTGTCGCTGTTGTCACGTTTAAAAAGTTCCTGCATTGCATGAATGGCCGCCTCGCTCCCACTCTTATGACCAGCGCACACTCGTAAAGAGCCACTCGCATCTATAACATCCGGTTTGGTGACCTTTGTGACACACTTTCCCATAATCCTCCTTAACACTTCGCCTACTCTAATCGGTCGCACCGCTCCTTCCCCTTTGTCGAGGGGAATAAGCCGATTCGCTAAAATTGCTTCCAGACCCCAAGGATTGACATACTCCGTGCATAGGCGTTTGGTCATGCTGGCTATAGCTTCACATAGTTCTGTTCCTGATTTCTTAAAGGATTTACAAGTAAGAATTCTTCTGAAGCCATTTGCATCTACACCAGAGGGCCCGCCCGAACCCTTAGTTCTTAGAGTGGCGTCCCTGACCATTGATCTCATAGTACAGAGTGTCAGGAACGTCCTTAGTAGGGCCAAACAGGAGAGACCCTAATTGGACACCCTGTGGCTCTGGATGTTTTTCCTTCAACTGCCCCATGACGTCATCAGAAAGGGGTAAGATCCCTCTACCTTGATCATTGCTTAGATATCGTAATGTCGAATTGACTTGTCCTGTCATCACAAGATTTGCAAAAATCTTTTCCCTATTTGGAGGATCTGTCGCCCTACAGGAGTTTCCAAGACACCTCTGTATCATGCGCCCTTCACGGAGGATAGTATCAACCTTGCCTTTCTTCCATAAGACAAGAAGCTTTGCCAAACAATCCTGGTGATCTTTTGATTTTGATTTAGGACCGGGCTTTTGTAGACAAAGCGCAAGGAGAGCAATAGCGACTTTAAGAGTAATGAATTCCATTTCTGAACCATTCTTCCATTTATTACTTAGTTCTCTCAATGTGTCGATGAATTCTTTTCCCGTTTTTCCGAAAGGGACTAAAAATGTGTTTTTATGCCATTTGGATATTTCATCATAGGCATTCTCAATAGTCGACACGTTAACAATTATTGATCTTCCTTCATTGTATTGGCCCCAGACAAATGAAGATGGCGTGTGAAGCGTATTGCATTCAGGCAGTGATCCCAGCACCTCGTCAGACCTTTCACGCTTCGATTGATCAGACTGCAGCTCCTCCAGGAGTTGCACTGTGGACATATGTAAATTTGACGTCGCTTGATTAGCACCTTCTCTCTCAAGGCCAGAATTATTTTCGCTCTCAATATTTCTGTTTCCTTCAACAAATACCATATCACTATTTCCACTTGATAAAATAGACTCATCTATAGTTATCACTATTGCACCGTTCACACAGCGCTCATCGGCCAAACCCTCTTGACATTTCTCCAGCCTTGATGCTTGATCACGTAAATTCTGACCTTTAAGAGCAAGATGTCCATATCCCTTCTCTTCCAAAAGCTGTTTCATGACTTCAATGTAGCCTTTCTTTCTGCCATTTCGATTCAAAGGCGTGCTATTCGATGCAACTAGCTCTTGCGCTCTTCTCTTACACTCCAGAATGTCATTATTCATTTGGTTCGTCCATTTCACTTTTGGCTTTCTGGAGAAGCTAAAAGACACAGCCGCCGCCATGGCAATCGCAATAATCATAATAATAATAATAATAATAATGAGAATAATAATAATAATAATAATAATAGTGGGCTTTGTTTAGAAAGGGTAAAAACACTTAACAGTAGCCCTAAGACACTGATGACTCTGTGGCCCTCAAAACAATTACAAAATATAGATGCTACAACTAATAACTATAAAATATACCATATTAAAAAGATAAAATATAATAAATAATTCATAGATACAAAATTACAATCCAAGGTGCATTGCAGCCTTTTGTTCAGCTAGAAAGGATTTCAAAACATTGGCCGTTTTTATACTAGAGACGTTAAAGTCGTCTGGACGCATTTAACATCTGAGACGTTAAAGCCGTCTGGAATAAAAACGAGACGCATAAAAGTAGACGACTTTTAGGCTCTTCTCAGAAAAGACTGGGCTCTATTCTCAGAAGACACTGGAACGAGTAAACAAGCACAAAATAAACTCTGAGCGCGCAAATATACAAACAAAATAAAGATGGCCGAATTGCAAATTCTGAAGTCCATTTCTCAACGTCGCCAAGAAAGGCAAGAAATGGAAATGTAAATGTTATTAACGAGGAAAAATCAATAAAGGAAGCAGCTTTTGCAGACTATGGACGGAGAACTAGATATGGTTGAAGCACTTGGCTTATGTGCCACGACTATGAAGAGACCAAGGAAAGAACAGGGTGCGGATAAATAAAGAAGTTCCTCGTGATGGAGAAATGGTTACCGAAATTGGGACGATACTGCGTTCAAAAAACGTTTGTGTACAAATTGAGCAACGTTTCAGTTCATTCTTGGTGAGATAGAAGACCAACTAGTCAAAGAGCCAACTTGTTTCAAACCTGAACCAATACCCCCAGACACACAACTTGTCATTTGTTTGTATCGATTGGCCCATGGATGTACCTACAGCACAGTAGGAGACCTGTTCGGTGTTGCAGAATCAACTGCAAGTGTCATTTTTAACCAGGTATGTAAGATACTGGTGTCAACTCTTTACGACAGATGTGTTTACTTGCCAAGAAACAGAGCCAAATGGAAGCATGAACTTGATAGCTTCCTTGAGAACTGGGAATTTCCATGCGTAGGAGCCTGGGACGGGTTCCGTGTTTATGTCAGCACAAAGTTAAATCAAAGGGCTCTGAGAGCCAGCTCATTCATGTAATGGATAATTTTTATTGTATCTGTTATTGCTGGTCATGGGAATTATTTGGGGTGACCTCCCATTCAGAGGCTAATTTCTTGGCCTATGTCCCCTCCTGTTAAACCCCATTTTTTTGCATGCATCTCCCCTAAACCCCAGGAGGATCCCCATGCGTCATAAAAAATGGACAGTGTCTTGATATAATTGCCACATTCACATAAATAATTGAAGTTAACACAAGATAAGTTTATTTCAAAATGAGATAAAAACATGAACAGCAAAATTATGGTAATTGAAACTGAGCAGTGTTATAATCTCAGATACAGGAGTATGATGCATTTTTTTTAACAGTGCTTCTCATGCTGACTATTTACAAGCAAGTAGTTAATTAGTCTACATTGAAAATTATGCAATCAAAGCAAAGTAACAATAACACTGTTAGGAATGGAATGAGGGCAATAGATATTTTTATGAAAATTTAGAATAAAATCAAGTTCTGAAGGACACTAAGAAAGAAAGTAAAATATTTTGTTATTTGTTTTCTGTGATTAAGAGTTGCCATCATGCTTAGTTTTATATATATGGTAGTGAAAAAGTTACCATCTTTCCAACACTGAAATCATAACATTAAACAATAGCTTTGATAATTAAAAAAACAACAGTAACAATAACAATTGGAAAACCACCTGGGCAGGTTCTGTGGTAATTAAGCATTATGAAGTTCAATGCATTTTTTTCCATTAAGAATATTATATAAAAAAAACAAACAACAGTAACAGTAACAATAACAGTGGGAAAACTACCTGTGCAGGTTCTCTGGTAATTGAGCATTATCAAGTTCAATGCATTTCTTTCCATTAAGAATATTAAACAATATAAACAGCACATAAATTGCAAACGTTTTCGTTAACTTCTCCTTTTTGTGCAAAGAATGTAGCAAATGAACTTTTAACCATAAGTTCTATTGTTTGTGTGAATGTCAGTCAGCACCACCAAGTTCAATTGATTTTACAATTTTGTCATCCATAATAACTTGAAAACATAAATTGCTGACATTTAGAACGGTTTCTTCCATTATATTTGCAGATAAGTGGTCAATGTTTTTGTCTATGTTGTAACCGCGATTGTTTGAAATAACTCACTTAGAACAGCATGTGTACAAAAAAATTTCCCATATTTTCTCCACTTTCGTCTTATATCACGATGTTTGCCGTAGTACTAGATACCAGTTCACATTTTTTGATCTTCAAGTTACAGTTGGGGCATTTTATAATATTTAATTCAGGAGCATCCGTGTCTTCTTAATCTCTACCGCCATTATAGTACCGGTGATTTTCTTCTTTGCCTTTTCATGTGGTTTTATGTTTTCAGCTTCACTGGTAATCCCACCTGAAATGTCAATGTTTTCGCAATTTTCAATTGTTGTTTTTGTGGAAGAGCCGAGATGTTTTTTTTGTACCGATTCAACTTAAGTTCTTTGAAGTGATAACAGCTGTGCTGTTCAACTTTGGCGATTTGACTTTCCCACAGAGTTACAGTTATCGCTCCAGTAGTGTCAGCGACAACAATGTTACATTTGATGAGGTTTTTTTTCGCGTGTTTTGAACACACAGTTTCCTTATCTCCTTTGAATAAAACTTTAGCTTTCAGTCCTACAGATTGACCATTCAGTGCACTTTGTAGAATTTGTGTGATTTCACTTTGGTCGGTGTTCGATGCTTTCCATTGAAACGCTAAGTTTTTAGCTTGTTCGATTCTGGAGTACTTGTTCATCTTGTATTCCACACCATCGCCATATCTTCTTTTTTGTGGGGTGATGCTTGTGAGGGAAGTAAGAAGTTTGGCTATATATATATTTGGCATATATATGCACTATTTTTTGAATAAAAATAAACATTGTTGCTAATTAAATAGAATAGAAAACTACAGAAGCACTAATTACACGAACTTGAAGTCCTTATTCAGAACATAAAATTATTAAATAAATGTACTGCGCAAAAAGTAAACATTTTTAAATGATTTTACAAAATAAAAACCCTTTTCTAATTTTAGGCTAAAGGGGTTCTTATATAGATGGGGGGGGGGTAACTGTCAAAGTTTAGCCTAGTTTCTAATTCTTAAATATTGTTTGTGTCAATATTACTCTGTTTATTAGAACATAGCATGGGCCTGGATAATAATAATTTGGTTTTTGAACTCCTTGTATTTATTCCTGCGTTTATTCTGTCATTGTTCGTTTATTCTCACGTGTTTTGATTCAATTGTCCCCTATTCAAGTACTGAAGACAAAAGCCTTTGTTGTCATGCAGGAAAATGAATTGTAACTTGAAAACTTTTTTTCCCTTGGGCTTGGGAAGGAAAGCAGGAGGGACCAGAGTTTGCATGAGGTTGCATGTTTTTGAAAGGAACAATTAAAACATTTTTTTATGCTTTCTCTGATAACTGGAGGCAAATAACCACCAAATAGTTCCTGACATATTTATTTCTATTTACATTATTTCTGGGTCGAATTATAATTTAATTTTTTGTATACAATAATTGTAACAGATGCACACTAAAGGCAGGTTGTAGAAAAATTATGATCTAACACTGTCTGTGTAGAAGTTGGGAATAATGGTTGTCCATTAAGTTAAGGCATACATATTTTGAGTCAGATGAGTCTTCATCGTCACTATAACATATTATAACATTCAAATTCCTCATAGTATCACTCATCATGATGAAAACAATGGAAGGCAACAAGTTCTGTTCCTTTAAAGGGGGCAGTATTGGTCAAGGAATTATGATCTCATAACAGTAAAATTCGTTTTTGCAATATCCTGAAATGAGAAGTCTGCATCAATGTATAGATGCTGATATTATTTGAAATTTACAGTATTGAGCTAAGAGCGTTGTCAAATAATTTGACAGTAAAATTCGTCCTTGCAGTGTCCTGAAATCAAAAGTGGACATCCATGGCCGTGGGCAAGCACTCTTATTTCATTCTACAAACAGCACATGTCCCAGAGGCTGATATCATCTTTAGCTCTTGAAAATGGCTTGAACTATACCAGTATAAAGGCATCAGTTATTGCTTAGCTGTATTCCACAGATGTCTTTGTCTTTTTTTGTTGAATACATCTCCGTGTTGTGTATTTTCCTTCCTCATTACTGTAGTTGTTCTACAAATTAAGAGACAATTTAATGTTATTGTTTGATAAATAATTTTTATGTGAAATTGCATCTAAAGCCTATACAACCCCCTTAGTGCTTTAGGCTGGATATATTTAAAACTTACCTGCCTTGTGTGCTCAGGGGCCCAGCAAACTTAAGACAGGGATACCATGCTGTAGGGCTCCCTGTCTTGTTTGATGGTGGTTTTGGTGAATTTGTCTGTGTTTATCTATGCAATATGGTAAGACTACTGGTATGTGTGTATATATGCAGTATGGTAATGCTGTGTATTGCAAAATGATGATAAATTAACCTGAACATTTTTTATTTAACATGGTAAATATTTCCAAATATTATGTATGATACTACAGGGGTCATTATTTTGAAAATAAATATTCTTACTCAGTTTTTAATGAAATAAACAATGGTTTATTATCACTGTAGTATGACTCTAGGACGCCTGAAGACTTTAAAAAATATCTTGTTGTTAGTCAGATGCCTTTTCTAGCAAGTTGACATTAAAATCTATTAGTGAGCGATAATTTTGTCATGAAGATAATTTAGACTGCTCAATAATTTGAGCTTACATTTGAACTGGATAAATACCAATTACTTTTGGAATTAAATTCAATAAAATATCTTGAAGTTAAATCTGTTTTGTACAGTCAAATGCCTTTTCTACCCATAGAAACTTCTAAGATTGACATTTCTGTATAAAATCATTGATGTTGTAGACATCATCTTTGTCCAATGTACAAAGTCTAGTTTCAACAAAAATGTTCACGGAATGTTGTCAGGAAGATTTCTAATTTTGAAATCAATTGAATAGAATTTTAGCATCAATAAACTTCACTTCAGTCCTTACTTATTCATTTGAACTGGAACAACGAAAATCGTTATCGAAGTCCGAACGACAGTCACCAAAACATCACACTATTGGACTCTTCCTTTTCCCAGTCGAATCGTGGTTCAAAATGAGATCCATTATTTTTCTTCTATTTTCTGGTTCTTCATCGAACAAATATCAATATCAATTTAATGGGTCTGTTACTAATGCTTTACGTGAAAAACATTCTAGTGACAAATGAACAGAGAAAGCTTTGATTTGTTGTCCAGTCAATGTAATCCATTATACTGATCGAACAATACTTGGGGACTACTTTCGAACCGAGAGAAAGCTTTGACAAGACAGAATACAGTTCTGCGAAATTGCCTCACTCCTGAAAAGGTCCTTGCTTGTGGTTTGCTTCGCCTTGCACACGGAAATTCATACGAAACAATAGGACCTGTGCTAAACAGCAATAGAGGCTTGTCAAGACGTGGTTGAGGCTCTTTATGACTTAAGGAATGATTACATTGAATTCCCAACAACAGTGGCCGAGACAATGAGGTGTATAGAGACATTTACGGACAAATCACGACTTCCAAACATTGTTGGGGCCATAGATGGCACTCATATCAAAATAGTTGCTCCTAGAGACAGTGCTGTTGATTATTTTAGTCGAAATCAGCAACATGATTTCGTTATTCAGGCCGTTGCTGACGGTAAGGGATTATTTCTTGACTTTGCAGCGGGTTATCTGGGAAGTATCCATGACGCTAGGGTATATCGAAACAGCTCGCTTTATCTAAGAGCAAGCAACGGAGATATACTCAAGGAACCCGTTGAAAGAATCGGCATCACAGATATTCAGCCTTACCTGGTAGGAGATAGCGCATACCCTATTTCCCCCTGGCTTATGAAGCCTTATCCTGAAGTGACGCGTGACCCTGGCGAGATAACATTTAACAAGGAACTGTTGTCTGCACGAGTAACCATCGAGTGCGCTTTTGGCTGCCTCAAAAGTCGTTGGCGAATTCTACAAAAGCGGTTGGATAGCAGAATAACTTTTTCTGTGAAGATTGCAATTGCTTGTGCAGTGCTGCATAACTTTTGCATTAAAATTGGGGACGAATGGGAGGATGATTTTTACGATGACGATGATGACCACGGAAACGAAAAGAACAATGACTTAATGCAGGACGGGGAAGATATGAGAGAGTTGCTAAAAAACAGTCTATGATTCTTCAAATCCCTTTTTAAAGAGAAGTGTGTGATAAAGATAATTTTTGCATTTACAACAAGAAATCAGTTCAAGCAGTACATTCATTTGTTTCCATAATTTCGTTTGATCAATTCGCAACATAAACAATAACATGTCTTTTGATAATGGTCGATAATGATTGTCTCCCAATAGTCCAAAACAGTCTTGAATTAAAGTTCAGTTGTCTTTCTCATTCTGTTGGCCAAGGATTTCCACAATGGAGCCCATAAATTGGTTCATCATGGCTAGCTGCTGCGTCTGTGATTGTTGCAAAGAATCCATAAATGCTGTAACTTTTTCCCCCGGCTGCCTCATATCCTTTAGAGCCATCTTGAACTCTTCGTCGCTGTCATTATCAGGAGCTTTGCGTTTTGAAGCTCATTTCCCTTTCTTTGACGCTCTTCTCTTTTCAGCTGGAGTTTGTAGCACATTGGGGCTAGATGAAGTACTGTTCTTGCCAGTAGTATCACTTGATTCAGCTACAACTTGGGGGGCACTTTCGCCGCTGATCCCCGCTTCGGCTACATTATTGAAGGTTACTAGGTCGCGGCATCCAAGGATCTTATTGACCTCATCGTAGTAGACGGATTTCCTAAGGTTTCCTCCTGTTTGGTTTTTGTTCCAATCTTTTGCATTCTTGTATCTTTCTATGATGTACTTCATTTTCCGAATACATTTGTCGGCCGTCTTGTTGGACTGTAGCGCTTTCGAAATCTTCTCAGCGATCTAGGCCCACGTTTTCCTGCACTCTCTGCTTTCCAACTGATCGTGTTTTTCAGCCCATAGTTGGACTAACAGTTTTTCCTCATCTTTAGTCCATCGTTCCTGGGCCTTCTTGTTCTCGGAAGATGTACGGTGCGAAGAAGTTTGGGATGATTCCGGCATTGAGCCGTCTTCGACGAATGGAAAGGATTCTGACAATGAGCCAGAACTTGCGGTTGAAGGAGATGGGCTTGCAGTTCCTCGATCATTAAAATTGTAAGTGCTAGGCAATGGATATATCCATCCTGGTGGATATTGAGGATATTGTTGCCCCATTTCATACGGAAAGTATTGGTTGCCTGTGCCTGGATTCATGTTGTTGCGAAATGAGAGCGTGACCAATTTTGCCGCGAAGTCTATAGCATAGAGACTCTGCTATATATCACCTGTCAAATCATTTCCGAATTAAAACACCCTCGCTATTGTTTTCCAAAATTTGTCTCAATTTGGCCTGCTCCAGAGGTAGTCGACGGCATCTTTGAAGTTTGTCCACCTGCGACCAAATTTTGTCCTTCGGTGAACAAACCGGTCGCACTTGGTTTTTCATTGTGATGACAGATTTTTGACATAAATAAACAGTTTTGTCCTCTAGTGCGACTTGGCCCATTCACAACCTTTTCACTTACCCTAATTTTATGCTCATTTAAGTTGATGATATGTAGACTAGAACTGTTTCAGAGTCGACTTAAACCTACATAATGCATGTACTCTTGTGTGGAGCGTGGGAAATCAACAACTGCAGCATTTAGAGTGTCACCTTGACAACGGTGAATTGTTTTTGCAGTTGCTGGTCTTAATGGAAACTGTCTGTGAAGAATCTGTACTTGACTTTTCTGATTTATTCTGAATTGCCTTGTTACTTCCAGAATTGGTGTCCATGTCCTATTTATAATGGTTTTGGTGTTGTATAAATGCATATTTTCTCTGCGCTGCTTTTTACCTATGTCAGTATCTGGAAATAATACCCATATAATACTAGGTCCGCTAGAGTTTTCCACCCTGTAGTCAATGTTTTAATGACACATTCTGCACCATTTGTTAAACCATCTGTTACATCAACATTTGTTGTTAAATCATACTTTGCATTGGTGGCTATTGAGGTAAGTGAGTATAAACCCATTGTTTTTGTTGGATCATTTGGTATTTTGTCCTTCATTTGTTTCTTAAGGTCATCAGAAATATCTCCAACTACAATGTCTATTGCCTTTATTTGGCATTTGTCACTTTCACATTTAGCATACATGCTATTGTCGTGTGCATTTACTGATGTATTTGTAGTAAACAAATGGGTTGTTTCCAGGGGTAATTTTCACTTCCAGGGACTGTGTGTAAAAGCCTTTCCTTTAAACAGTCAATATCACGTTCAGAATGCTTTCCTTCTCTCAGACGGTTAAGCACCTCTGCAAACTGTTTATCATCTTTTTGCCTCATTATGTCTGTTAATTCAAATAAACTAAAAAAGTCTGCCCACAAATTAGATGCTAAAGTACTCTAAGATGTGTTTGGATTTTCAAAAATCCATCTGTCAAAAACAGGTTTTAACTGGAACAGATCTCCAACAGTGATCACAGTTATTCCTCCGAATGGTTCCTTGTTTCCCATTATCTGTTGTAACCTTAGATTAAGGAAATTGAACATACCACCTCCTACCATTGAGATTTCATCAATGAATAGAACTTTTAGTTTTCTTAATTTGTTCTTATGGTGTTAAGTCTGTCACTATCAAGGGTACAATATTCAAATCCCTTATTGGCAGGTATTTTAAAGGCTGCATGTAATGTATTTCCTTTGATGTTGACTGCTGCTTTTCCTGTTGGAGCTGCTTTAATCACATTGATCTCATCGGGGTTTTCACCTGCTATGCTATTTAGATACCTTATCAGTGCTTCATACAGTGCATTTGTAACACTGGATTTACCAACACCAGCACCACCTGACAAGAAAAGTCTGAGAGGGTCATCGCTGGTTTTTACTGAATGTAATACATGATAAAAGAACTGTCTTTGTTTTTCATTCAATGAGCGAACAAGCTTACGATAGTCGTCATTTGAAATGCGTTTTACAAGAAGCTCCTCTTGGTCATCACATCTAGGGAAAATGCCTATGTCATCATGCAAGTCATATTGGCTATGTTGTTTATTATTCCCTGGATCAAAGCAACCAAACAATTCACTTGGTTTTTGCTTTGTTGAACTGTCTTGCTCATTAATATGTTGTGCATTTGGAGCAACACTGTCATAGATCATATTTTCCAAATGATCATTGTCGAAATCCGCCATAGCTTTATCTAATATTTCACTGTGATATTCATAGTTTTGTCTGTTACAGAGAACTAGTTCATTGAGCTGATTAAATCGTTCTTGATACGTTTCACAACCTCTTAGCAAATCTGTGTTCTCATTACGCCAAGGAGAATAAAGCATAAGCTGCTCTCTGTAATGATTTTCAGGATCTTTGCTTATATGGAATCGGACAGATCGAATAATTTTAGGTTTTGTTCTCTTAACAAGTTTCATACCACCCTTCATTTTGAGCTCCTGTTGTTCACTTTGTTGTTCATCCATATTATAAGGGTCATCATCATTGGTGTTGACATCATAAAAAGCTTCTGGCATAAAGTCGTCAGAGCCTATATCAAACTTATCACCATAGACAGTGTCCGATTCATTATCCTTTACACAATTTAACCAGGCAACAAAATCAGCCAAACAAATGTTTTCTAGCTGTTTTGGTCATCTTTGGTAGCGCTTAATGATGTTATCAGATTCTATATCACATGAGTTATCTGGTAGCTCCTTGATCTTGTCTAATTTCTTTAACAGGAATGTCCTTTCATCAGGATGGGAGGTATTAATGAGCTGAAAGTCACGTGTAGATCTTCTCATTGGCATTTGTAATACCAAGTATGCAGCCTCTTGAGTACTTATTTCTACAGCATTCAGAAATTTGTTTCCAATGTGCCTCACTTTTTGAGTGATATCTCTGTTGCCTGACTTAACTTCTTCTGTAGCTTCTTCCAGAAGCCTGCTCATGCCTCTCTGCCCTTTTGTAATGTAAGATAAAATATAAGTTGCACAGGCATAAGGGTCTAGGACATATTGCATATCCATGTTTGCCCTCCATGCTTTCAGCAATTGTGTGTTGTAATTATTTATCCTTATTTCTGATGGCAGTCTCTTCAAAAATAGAGTGCTGCGCTTTATTGTGTGCCTTAATGCTATTATGTAACTTTCCTCATTTAATCGTGATTTCTTTAGAAATTGCTCAAAAGGTATATCTTCACCAAATTTTATACAGTCAAGTTCATCTTTAATTTTCTTTGCATTTTCTTTGATTTTTTTTGCTTCTCACTGTCAAAAGTGTCATATTCTTCAAGTGGTGTTAAAATAACAGTTTGTTGCATTGGCGGCAAAGGAAAGTTAAATCTGCATACTTTCTGTCCCATTTTCTTACAAGTCTTAGCATGTCTATGCAGTTGTAGATTGACAAGTTCTTCCATCTCACCAGTACGAGCTTTTTGACAAGTGACATATTTATCAATGAAACTGACAATTTCTTCCTCAGAACTTTTTTCCATATTGAGGTGCACCTTTCACCCAGAATAGACCATGAATATGAGGACTTCCTCTTTGCTGAAACTCAACTCTGTAAAAATAATAAGTTATTTGTCCTACTGGCATAACATCATTTCTGAGAACATCATGTATAAATAGCTGGACCATATGCTCAAAATTTCGTGCACATGTTATAGGGTCTCTCTGGATAAGGTTTGATTTTTGTTCCTAAGCCATGTTGTTAATTTCATCATCAGAATATTCCTTTTTTTCAAGAATTCTGCCAAGAATTTTGAGCAAATGTGTCCATCTTGTTTCTGCAGCTGAGAAAGAACAGAACCATGTAGGGTTGCCAAGCTGACGGATCATAGCAAACAAATCCTTTTTGCATTTTTGAAAATATCCTGGGCTTCCTCTTAGATTTTTTAGTACTCTAAAACCTTCATCAAGATGTATCAGCTTATTAACATAATCCTCTGAATTTAAGTCACCAGCAGTGTACTTCTTGCCTTTTGTTTTACATTTTCGAAGAGAAATGCTAGCAGTGCCCTGAATTTGCTTGATTTGTAGCTTTTTAAGCTTATAAAACAAATTAGGGACTGATTGTGCTGCTCTTCTGTCTTGACATCTCAATTCCCACTTAGCTATTGTGCTAGATGAAATAGGAACCTTCCTTTTTTTGTTATCTGCTCTACGTTTTCCACAGAATATTGTGGGAAATGATAAAAATTCTAAATCTTTGTCCATAAATATGCCCAAAGGTTTATTTCCCTCTCCTGGTGCAAAACTTATAATGTTATCACCATTCTCTGCTATTTCTGGTTCTTGTAATAAAGTGTCTGTCACTCCTGAAGGACGTTCATCAACTTCACACCAATTATCATCATCATTGTCAATAGTTTAAGAATTTATAGAACTTGCATTTTCCTTGTCATTATTATTTTCAATAGTTTGAGTGTTTTTGTCAGAATCTTTTTTAATATTATCATTATTGAGACACTGGTCCCATTCATCATTTTCTTCAGCCTGTGTGGTGACAGTGTTTTGCTATGCATTGTGAACCTCTATACCTTCACTTTTAAACAACTCACTAGTACTAACAAGATATTTAGCTGCCTCTAATACTTTTTTTGGTCTCACATTCTGAAATTGATAATAATGCTTATAGGTTAGTTTCCGCTTGAGTTTTATTGGGATAGTCTGTGACTCACTGACAAGTCTAGGAAGGGTGTGCACAGTTGAATTAACATCACTTGGTACATTTACTACATTTCCATGAATAGACAGCTGACCGCCTCTTGGAAGTTCACGAATTTGCATAAATGGAATTCGTGGTGATATCAGCCTTTCCTCTAATGGGGTCAAATCAAGCGCTGATGGTTTATTGGGGAAACTCGTGCCATTTGCCTTTGAAGACTGCGGTAACTTACCCTCTTTTATATTTAAATGACAAGTATTACAAATCCATTCAGTATTGTCAATACTTTTTACTCCGTGATGCAGGACTGAACAAGGTTTTTTGGCAGTTGGTATAATTACTTGTATTGCATTTTCTTACTGATGTTCTGTACCACAGTTAATCACAGCAGGTACATATGTACTCAGGACCGCAACTTATATTCCTATGAAACTTGGCTACCATGGATGTGCAAGAATTTGCATAATTTTCACCACAGCTTGGCAATACAGCACTGCAACTGTTGGCATTCTTCTGTATATTCATATTTTGCATATTTTGTCGTTTCTTTCACATATGTTCCCTTTTAGAAGCTTTACGCTTTTCTGCTCTGTCTACTTCTGATAATTAGTCTTTTAGGGTTAACAGTTTGTGCACGTTTCTTTTGTATACATTCTCTTTTAGAAGCTTTACGCTTTTCTACTTTGTCTACTTCTGATAATTTTAGTCTTTTAGGGTTAACAGCTTGTGTACGTTTCTTTCGTATACATTCTCTTTTAGAAGCTTTACGCTTTTCTACTTTGTCTACTTCTGATAATTTTAGTCTCTTAGGGTTAACAGTTTGTGCATGTTTCTTTCGTATATATTTTCTTTTAGAAGCTTTACGCTTTTCCACAGGAAAAAATTGAGAGATTCCAAATTTGGAAATGCATTGGTTTTTCATTGGTATAATAGTGAAAAATCAATGGAAGATCAGTAAAAAGTCCAACATTGGAAAAAGAGATACACTTTCCAACCATGGTAAGTCAAAAACTAAAAATCCAAGGTTGGAAGGTCATTTTTGTATTACCAATGTTGGTAAACTATGTAATAGTCCAACATTGGAAACAGAGAAATCCAATGTTGGAAGGTTATATGTTATATTACCAAGTTTGGTAATCTATGTAATATTCCAACATTGGAAACATAGGAATCCAAGGTTGGAGGGTCATATTTGTATTACCAATGTTGGTAAACTATGTAATAGTCCAACATTGGAAACAGAGAAATCCAATGTTGGAAGATTATATGTTATATTACCAAGTTTGGTAACCTACATGATATTCCAACATTGGAAACATAGAATTCCAAAGTTGGAAGGTCATAGTTGTATTACCAATGTTGGTAATCTATGTAATAGTCCAACATTGGAAACAGAGAAATCCTATGTTGGAAGGTTATATGTTATATTACCAAGTTTGGTAATCTATGTAATAGTTCAACATTGGAAACAGGAAAAACAGATTATAGGAATAATATTTTGATTATCATTAATTACCAAACACTGAGCTATATAATATTCTAAATAAATGTTACCATATAGTGTAACATCACTGAATCATCATAAACACAAATTCCAGTTTAACTCAATATTTTATTTCTGGAGGTTGAATTTCAACATATCTATTTTGCACTAAAGCGATATAGCAACTAATAATAATTATTGGTAGCTCTTATTTTCAAAACTTTTGAACTAAACAAGCCACAGAGCAAACACATTAAATAAACAATCTTTTTGATATTTTAATCCCCTTCATTTTCTGACAGACTTGATGGTGTGGATGTATCAGTTCCATCAACTGATTCAGTAGAATTACCTGAAGGTGAACTACTTAAAGCCTCTTGTTTCTTAATGTTCTCTACACACAGCTCTTCCACAAGATCTTTTAAAATTTCAATTTGTTCTCCTTCCAACTCTTTGTAATTTACGTCTGGATTGGTAGTACCGACATATCCCTTTTGCACTAAACCGATTGCAACATTAACTGCTAAGTCATATTTCCCTTGACCTCTCGTCTTAATCTTCAGGAGTTTGGCGGCAGGAGCTAAGTGCTTTTTAACACTTAAATTTCGAAATGTCGGAACACGAAAGATAACAGCGCACACTAACTGTGCACTGTAATTAGAGATGTCTTCAACAGTATCAGCAGTTTCCGTTGATTCTGGCTTGGATGTGTCTGTCACAGCTGAAATAAAACATTAACAGCAATTAAATAAAATCATTAATTTTTGCTGTGACTTTAAACATAGAAGTATGGGTAGGTCATCAATGGGGGACTTACTATACTATTACAGCACAATATAGATACAGTGTATATAGGCAGCGCCTACCTCCAAACCTAGCTAGTGGCTCATCATGCTGGCTGTTATTTTAGTATTAATTCCTGTTTCAGTAGCAGGAAGCAACATAGGAGTATTGCGTCTTCCCCCTGGTTGGGATGCTACAAATTGTATGCAGTTTCACTGCAGGAATACCAAACAACAGTTTGTTAGGTTCCTCCAGTACCAATAATTTATACACATCAGATGTAGAATGAAAAGTGCCTTGTCAAAGGATTGACAACAGGTACATATGGGTACTTTGTCCAACTATCTCCCTCTTTTATGGATGATATGACACTGGCAGATTTAATATGGGGCAGGTCATTGAAACAGTATTGATACAAAGCAATGTTCTGAGTGGACACTTACCAATCATACTCTGACTCATGTCTTCGAGATCTGAGGATGATGAAGCTTTTGCTCTCTTGGCTGGGGTTCTAGTTTTCTATCAGGATAAAGATAAAAGAAAGCTAGGGTGGCTGTATGCATCATGTCATCATTGAATCCATCATCATGGTATTGGCAAAACTAAAAATCCATATGAGAACGTTTGCTTGGCTGGAAACCTTATTAGCTCTTCCATCAATCTCTGACACAGCATCTAGTAATAATAATTATTGTAATGTATGCTTCAGCTTCATGGATAGTACAGCTGTGTATACAAATAAAAAAATACCTCAAAGTCATATCCGTCACTGATTTTTCGATTTCTCTCTGAAGCCCATTGGAGGATGTGGTGTCTTATGGCACCTAAAATAAATAAGATGAAAAAGAAGATTTCATGACAAAACAAGACTACCATACGATTAATACTGAATCAATTTTATCCTATGTAGTAGAACTGAAGCTTAGCTGATGATAATGCAGTGCTGTAAGCTATTCTTTGAAAATTATATGCTAAGAGTTTGACCAGTCAAATATTGTTCTGAGATTGGAGTATTCTATATTGTAATGCACCTTACTGGCTAAAGACTAGAAGACAGCATAAAATGTTTTATGCCAGTTAAAACGGTTACCATATTTTGTCTAATAAACACTCAATTCCTTTCTGAGTTACTTTGGGGAGGCATTAGGTCAAAACTCAATGACTGAAAGGCAAGCCAGGCAGACATAAATTTGTAGTTATATTCTTAAAATAACCAAATGATCTGAATGATTATACATTCCCTCCATCCACATAATCACAAGGGAGTTGTCGTGGAATCAAGAGGACTGTATACTTCTTTGTTTCCTAAACGCGTTTAGTTTTTTCCATCACTCCTGACAATCTGAACATACTAACACTCTAACGATCTAAAACCAATCTGCCCTTAAAATTCAGTGCTACTTTGTTTTACAGTTCTAGTTGCAAAATAAAGTAATTTACCCACAATCACGAGTTCAGTAAATTCCCAATCCCAAAGTACTTTAATATACCCTATTTTAGTTGCAATTTCACAATTACACGTTTCTTTCCGTTATTTAGTTCACTGTACGCATGCAAATCAGTGTTGAACTTTGTTTACAACGTTGTGAAATATCATGTCACGAAATCTTCCTATTCGCGTTACAATCAGTCTAGTATTTCGTTACATTGTGTGACAATTTATAACATTAATCATTAATTATAAAGAAATCGTTCTCGACAGGAGTAGAGGGGGCATTTATTTGAGTACTGTGGATTTCGGGGCATGCTAGCATAATTTTTGGTAACCCAAATATGTCATTGTTTAAGCTATTGATATGGAAATTTGTTGTAGTATCATGAGAGCTATTTGCTTGTTCTAAATAATAATAATAAATAATAAATAAATAATAACTTTATTTAACGAGGGTAAAGACATTGATTACTGGTCACCCAGTAGTTTTCATAATGGCCCTCCTACAATTAAAATACTAAGATGTATCGATTGAATAATTGACTACCTATATAATCTACAAACTAAAATTACATTAAGAACTACTATTAATACAATATTGATTGATTTACTACTAATGAAACTAAAAAGTTTTACGAATCTTAAAATGATCAAGAAAAGAAGTCATACTACGGTAAAATTTAACTAAGTAATTTTTAAAATTAGTATGAGAGAGTGTCTTTGGTTCGGGATCAAGAGCGTTCCACAAACGGCAAGCGCTTGAGTGAAACGTTCTAAGGCCAGAGTTCCTTTTACAAGCTGGTGTTGTAATATTGTTATTAGAAGCGGATCTCTTGTTATAATTATGGGTGTTACTTATATGTTCAATATATTTATTAAACTAAGCTGGGCAATGTCCTTGATTTATTTTATTAAGCAAATAAAGCTTCCTAATACGTATGATATCATCTATAGGCAGCCAATGTAATTTGTTAAAAAGCTTGACTGAGTTTTCGTGAGTATCAGCATCTAAAATAAGCTTAGCACATCGTTTCTATAGTCGTAAAACTCTTTGGAGATTACCAACGGTACAGTTGTCCCAGACCGTACAACAATACTCTAGTATTGGCTTGATGAGGGCATTGTATAACATTTTCCTGCAAACAAAGGTTAAATAAACCTTTGCTCTTTTAAGGAGACATATTCTAGAGTTTAACTTTTTAATCAAACAGTCAATGTGTAGGTTCCATGAAAGATTTGAGTCAATGACAACTCCGAGCAGCTTTTCCCCTGCCGCTTCCTCTAATTTGATATTATCAATATAAATTTCCATTGTAGTCTCGCTGCTTTGGGATAGCCTTTGAACAGAACCAATTAGCAGGTGTTTGGTCTTCTTTGTGTTTGGTATCATCCTGTTCAATTTAAACCAACTGTTGGCTTTGTCTAGACTATTATTAAGAGTTTTGAATATCTGTACAATTGGTTCCGCTCAACCAGATCGTTTTATCATCGGCATATATGTCGACTTCAGTGTTCTTTAACAGGAGGGGTAGATCATTCATATAGATAGAAAACAGAAGCGGACCTAAAATGGAACCTTGTGGTACCCCGACTTCAAGATTTGAAGGGCTGTCCTTACTTTGGCCAAATCCTATTTTCTTGATCTCACAGACAGGCAGTAAAGATGAACACATTTCTGATAATACCAAACTGTTGCCATTATTACTTTTAAAGTATATCTTCTCATTCCCTGCGCACCGTTTCCCACATTCCTTTCTGATGATGTTTATCCTGAGAATGTAAGAAACAGTGTAAATTAAATTAAAGAAAGTAAATAAATAAAAAAATTAATTTACAAATGCTGAGTTCATGTACAGGTCAGTAGTCCCCCCCTTTTCAGAAAAAAAACTGTTACTTGCTGTGATATAGACGCTTTTCTTCAGGAGACATGGCCTTTTTATCACTCTTGGTTATTTTCACCTTCATATGCTGTTCAGATTCAGGTGTGGCACCAGGCAAACTTGCCTTGTGATTATTGTCTTTTGCTGAAAATTTGAAAAGTGCAAGGATATTAAAATCACATTTACGCTAGAAGAAAAATTGGTCAAATTACTACTCTTAGGAATAACATGCAAATTCTCATTTCAAAACTCAACCAACGTATAGTACTTGAATTATAGACTGCTGTCAATCATATAATTGCAAAGACAACTAGTACCAATAACAGATCCCTGAGAAAGTCAAGAAAGCATTTGCAAGTGCACTGTGGGATCACTTGCAGTGAATTTGCTATGAGATGGAAGCATAATTTTAAAAATTTACTAACCTGACATGAGCTCCTTGATACAACCCAGAATAGTCAGTTGTTTACCAATAGATGCTATTCCGATGTCTTTAAGACACTGTCTATCAACTATTGCCAGTGCTTTGCCTGTTATCTCTGCTTCTAAGAAACCACCAATTAAAATATTAAGGAGTAATTATATTTCATGGGAACATTAACTATAAGGACAAAATTAGTTAAACAAAGCAAAATCACAAAACTTTGATAAGGTTATGTAAATGCTGCTTACTCTCGAATAGTCTTGCTTCCTCCTCATATTCAGGTTGAACCCTGCGTAGCCATTTGGCAACTTGCTCAGGATTCCACTCTGATTCGGAAAATGAAGAATCAGGATTTATAGCATACCTCAAGAGGCTAAGGGGCTGATGACATGGGGAATTTCAGCCCAGTTAACCTGGGCTGAAATTTCAGCTGGGCTTAGCAAACAAATCTTCCTGCCAGTGCTGAAAAACCTAGTGTAATTGCAATAAAATCTCAGGCCGGCTGAAAAGTGAGCTTGGGCATGTGCAGTGATTGTGTTTTAAATGAAGCAAGATGGTGGGGAGCCAAATTTCGTCATGTAATCACAACAAACTTTCAGCCTGGGGCTGAAATTCGCCATGTTATCAGCCCCTATGTAACATTAAAGCTTAAACTTGAATTTATAAGCTAACTTAAACAATTGCAAGGTGAGGTGATTGCAAGTTAAGCTTATATACTTAAGTTAACGCAAGTCACCGGACAAACAACCAAACTACATGTATGAGCCGTACACAATGCAAGGGGTAGTTTCGCCAATTCTTCACACATCATAAATGTGAGAAACGCAAACAAAGACACTCTCATTCAATATTTACGGTAAAATGTTGTAAAATAGCACTGAATTTCGTATTTCATACTGGAAATTGAAGTTGGGTAATGGATGGGCTAAAATGGCGCTAAAAACTGGTTCGACATGCTCAAGATTAAACGCGTCTATATCTGTCACCGCTGCATGCAGTGAAAATGAAAAAATACATGTTTTAAAATAAGCTCACCTGACTGAGAAAGGGGTAGATCCCGTTCACTAAAAGAACTAGTTATAATTTTGCAAAATCCTTTCGATAAACACTGCATTTCTTGATGTTATAACTGGAAATAGAAGCTGGTCAAAAATGGCGCCAAAAGCTACTCTAGTTCCACATGTACATGCTCAAAAAAGAAATGAAGCTCGTCACCACTGGATTGAGAATAAAAAATATATCTAAAAGCTTACCTGAGTGAGAAAGGGGTAGATTCTCTTCTTCACAAAAAGAACTTGTTGCCATTTTGCTGAATCTTTTCAAAGGTTGATATAAACACAACACAATCCAGTTCTCAGTTTTTATTTTTCGACCAACCTCGTTCCCGTTCCCAGGATCAAAGACCCTGAGAACGAGGTTACCTCCTAACCAGACTCCTGCAGACTTGTTAAGGAGAACGAGGGCTCTGGGAACGAGATTAAAATCCATGGCGGATGCGAAGAGACGCTTGCGCTCCAAAGTTTAACAAATATTATACAATCAGAGGATAATTTTCCGGTAACTAGTTGCTACTGTACAGGAACTCCAGAAGCAAGAGAAATCTGTCATCGTGGAAAACCTCATGTGCACTGTCCGTGCGCTAAATGCAATGGACGAGCAGTATGGCGTAAGACTGTATGAAGGCATTTGAAACAGTCATCAACAGAGCTTACATGTACACCGGTTAAAAAAGCACGCAGCAATGCATTAGAAGAACCGGAGTGCTCGCCTTTGGAACCTCTCATAGAATACGAAGAGCAAGATTTTGATCCCAAACATGTTTTTTGGTTTCACGGGAAGCTACAGCGAATTTCCACATTCAAGTGATGTTTGTGCTGGAGCCGCACGCATGGACCATGAATGCGAAGATTCGTCATCCTCCAGTAGTTGAGCTGGTGCCTCAGGATCAATTGACAGTGATGGTGATGAAAGATGACTGAGTGATGATGTCAGGAATCTTCCGATTGCTTCTAACACAAGAGATTTTCCCGATAATATTCACGTTAAATCGACCAACAGACTCGAATCACTTCACTATATTTTTTAATGTCCCAGCACAGAGGAAAATTACAATCGCTAGATCACATGTCAACTCGCACATGGTTTTGAAACCCTAAACTTACACCACGTGATTACAGCTTATCACTAGGTAACTAGAACAAAAGGAACAAAGTTCAATTTCACAGCGTGATAGTCACGCAGTCCATTTCCTAACAATGATGAAGCAGGCTCGGTTGAAGGTGGCGATGAGGAAGAGAACCTGAAGAAATTTGTATAGGATAGCATTCTTCGCTTAGTTGAAATGAAACAGAAAATGGGCTGCTCCAGAAATCATTTTGAAGAACTTCTTCAGTGGGGTAAGGACTTGCATACAAGTGAAAATAATGATGCTGCAATTCATTGGCCTAGAAACTGGGATGGAGTGCAATTATTACTTAAGGAACTAGGCTTTTCTGAGCCAAAACATTATTGGATTTGTCTTAGCAGTGACCATTCTAGTCATTATGGGCTTATGGAATCGAAAGATGAACCTTGTCCACATTGCGGTAATTTAGGGACAATCCCATATTACTACTTAGGCCTGCCAGATAAAGTAAAAAAGTGGTGCTCTTCCCCTCAAATGTGTAAGAAAATGACTGCCCATTGGTCACAACGTGACCATTGGCTTCCTGATGAGATGAAAGAAGGTTGATACTACGAAATATGGTACCACATGTAACTGACTCTCACACTGAGCTTGGGGTGCCTGTGATTTAATTTATGCAAATTGCACAATGGCATCTGAAACTCCCTTATATATATCAACTGTATTTGGTAGAAAATGGACTTTGACTGACTAAGAGCCATGTTTCTGTAACTGTGGGAATTATAATTCATTTATGAGTATAAATATTGTCTCAAATATTCCAAAATGTTGCTTTAGGTCACTGGGATGGTTGGCAGCCATTTTCTAGTACTATTCGTGGATGTGGAGCCATAGAGGTCTCAATAGCCACTATGTCAAAAGTACACCGCTGTCACACTGATGAGATCTATGTTGTTGGTTTCGTCCCAAGTTACCTCATTCCAAAGAAGAGGAGCGATGCTTTGGATCCATTTCTTGAACCACTCATCAGGGATTTAGAGGAAGGCTTCATCAATGGAATTCCTGTAAACTATGCAGCCACCATTGCTGGCATTCCGTCAGGCCCAACACACATATGTCATCTTCTGCTTTGTTGGAAAGGAGATTACAATGGACAATGTGAAGCTGGAAAATTCATTAAGTGTGGTAAAAAGGGATGCAGGCGGTGTAATCTACAAGGAGTGATTGTACTAGCTACCAATCATTACTATTATCCTGGTTTCAGATTGCAAGGCATATTTCCTAATGAAGAGAAGTCTATAGTTAACAGTTTGGAAGTCTTGCAGGATATCGAGGAAGAAGAGCGCATAACTGTTAAGCAGGAAAAATCCAAGAACACTGGGTACACAGGATTGTCAATATTTCATAGACTGTATCCCCTCTACCACTTTCAATATGACAAAGATTTCGTCTATGATGAAATGCATGGTCTTCCTCTCAATGTCGTCAAACGACAGATTCAGTGCCTACTAGAAAGTGGCAATGAAGACCTTAACTGGCAGGTAGTTGATGAGCGACTTAAAAGTTTTCCATGGACTCATGAACATAGGACAGGACGATTGCCCTTTGGTATCACAAAGCGATTTGGTTATTGGAAAGCAGAAGATTTTAATCATTTTGCATTTCCTGCCATGGAAGCCTGCTTAGGTGACATGAACGATCCTGAAGCTAGGGAAATTCTCTGTTGCCTTGCCCGTATTATTGAGTTTTTTAGCAACCATGCTAGAAATGGCTGGAGCGAAGCTGATGCTTGTACATTTCACGAAATGTGTGTGAGATATGCTGTACTAGTAGAAGAGAGCCATGGTGTTGAAAGCTGTGTAATCACATTACATAATCTCCTGCATTTTAAGGATGATATTGCACGTTTCAGCTCAATGGATAACTACTCATGCTGGACAGAGGAAAGGGCCGTTAGGAGGTACATTCTTGCCTCTAACAACCACAAGAACATTGAAATTACTTTTGCTTTGAGTGAGGCAAGGCGAGAATTTCTAAAACTGAGGGAATCAAAACAACATGTTGAAAATCATCTAAATGTCATCAAGCTGACATTTCCAAGGTAACTACCATTAATATTATTGAATGTTGGCGACTACTGTCATAGATACCACCCTTGCAGATCAATCATGCTTGCACATTTTGGTCAAAAGCCATTTTTAAAATATTTACATTTTCACAGACAAAACACCCCACGTGTGCAAGATTTCCTTACATTGTAAAGTGCAACTACTGTTGCCATGGCCATCTAGTCAATGAAAACCAATCACAATAATATTGAGAAGCCAAAAATTGTAAATTTAAAGCTAATTCCACCTTCTTTATTGTACATGCTTGGTTTTCCACATTGTTTTGGGGAAATGTACATGTACTTGTACACAAAATTTAACATTGATGTCAACATTTTTACACACTTTTTTCTTTTCTTTTCTTTTGTTCTTTTTTTTTGTTTGTTTGTTTAGCCTTCAGCACGGTCATTGCCGTTTGCAAAGAGACTTTTAGAGAGTTCCAAGGGCACAGTAAATTATGACCGATTGTCAGTCGGCATTCTTGTTGGTGGTGTTAAAAGTATGGAGCTATCTAATAATGACTGCCAGACTATTAGCATTGCAAGAGGTGTTCCAGTTGATGATGTTTCAGTTATTGGATGGTGTTCCAGAAGTCTGTGGAAACCAGAACACTCTTTTGAGGGCTTGCGCTACAGAGTTGGTGAACATGTGATTTTTGCTGACCCAGACAAGGGAGACACTGTTGCTGTACTGGAGAGTTTGTTTTCTGTCAGAATTGACAATGTGTCTGTTCTCTTCTGCAAAGGGAAACATTTTAAATATCATGGAGAAGCAGACACTGGCCACAAGCAAGTCTGCCCAACAGATAACACAGTCATATTTGAAGCTTCACTTCTCAGCAGAAAGGTAATGCTGTTTGCAAGGAATGTCAGTGATGATGAGCAGGAGGACGATTTGGGGGATGGTCAGTGCTTTATTCTCGTGGACTACATGCGCCGGGTGTTTCCTGTTACTGAAGGGACAGTTGTTGTTCCTTACTATCCTGTAGTCCATGACATGGTAGAAGTCAAAGGAAATGATGGGCAAGTCTGGAAAGCTTATGTACAGTCATTCAACCTAACCCGTTCAACTGTTAATGCTAGATTTTTTGTAGAGGATGGTACACAACCTGGTAAATGGGTACCTGAAAGAAGCCCAGTGCAGGTCATTCACTTCAACAGTATCCTTGGAATTTCAAAAGGTTACTGGCAAGCAGCATATTCTTGTTGGATTGATGAAGAGGAGTAATAATCAGTTACAATGTTTTTATCATGATGATAGTATTCAGAGATGTAGCCCTGATCAAGTGTAAAACAACACCTTTCAAGGAAAGGAGTGCTGAAATTATGGATACTACCCAAAAATGTAACTATGAATATTTGTAATTGATTTGTTTTGAAAATTAAGGAGAAATTGAGCATACAGACAAATCACAACATCATTGTCTTCTTTTTTATTGAAGTTCTTGTAGTTAAACAAAAATATTTTACGATACACTTGTAAAGAACCTTCATTGTAGGTACGGAAATGTATTTTCCTTAATTGAATTGGACAAAAAAATGATGGGAAAAATGATAGTTATGATGGTTTATCACTCAAACAATCCGAGTTTGCTTCTGTGGTTTTTATTGGATTATCACCTGCTAGAAGTGATATTCCAATAATTTACCATAAAAACCAACCTGGAGTTGTTTTGGTAAATGATTGGTTTATCAGTCAGTAAACAATCCAGACTGATTTAATGGTTTTTTATTGGACTATTACCTATAAAACATAATTTTCCAATAAACTACCATCAAAATACCAACTTGGATTGTTAAACAACTGATATACCAATGATCTTCCAAAAATCTCCTTTCTCCTAAAGAAATTATGAAATATTCCAATATTATTCCAATATTGGATAGTTTAATTCAGATGTTTTCCAATAATAATCCAACTTGGAATCTCTCAATTTTTTCCTGTGTTCTGCTTTGTCTACTCCTGATAATTTTTAGTCTCTTAAGGTTAACAGCTTGTGCACGTTTCTTTTGCATGAATTCTCTCTTAGTGGTTTTATGATTTTCAATTTTCTTTTTTGGTTCCATATCAGTGTCACTGTCTAAACCTGCTTCTGATATGTTTGCTCCCTTTCTATTATCTTTTTCTGTGTTGGCAAGTTGTGATTGCTTTTTTTGTGAGAAATGACTTTCTTTATATTGTTCTCCTTTGTCTTCATGCGAACTGACTGATTTTTGAATTAGCCCACTATCACGTGTTATTTCAGGGGAGCTCAATGCTGGTGTTGTAGACACATAATGATATTCTTGTATATGGCCAATATAAATATTTGTTGTCTGCCCAAGCTTTGATGAATGTGGCACAACTTTTCGGACATCTTTTTGCACTTTAATTATAACTTTTTTACTCTTTTGAAGAACACTTGTGTTCAACTTGTGATTCATTTAACTCGCCCACGTGTGTTGTTGAGGTCGATGTTGCTGCCTGTGGTTTGGAAAAGAGCAAGCAAATCTTATTGGCAAAGAAGGACAGCTTCGTCTTGATAAACTTGATAGTATTTCCTGTGATTGATCTAATGTGACTGATAGCCATCTCAAGCAAGTTTTAAATGAGAGATTGTTTCGTGGTTCGTATTGCAGATTGTAAAGCAAATTGTAAATTGTACAGCAGTTATTGTACGAGCGAGCCTCAAGTCTGGGCTGAAACAGGAGCTCAAATGTTTTAGTGTGACTATCTTGGCCGCTATTATTGATGTGTGCGTTGTAGGTTGAAGAGCTCCAAGGGAAAAGCACAATAATAAAGCAATGATTTACATACTTACCACGACTTTCCAATGCAATTTAACGCAAAATTATAACCTTAGCAACTGTCCAATATGGCTGCCTCGATGGTCCGTCTCGTCCACGTGATAGCGAATGCGTGTGCCAAAAAACTGTTTAGGGTACCCCTAGTTGCGAACATTTCGGCTCCTCGTAAGACGTTGCAAAATTGCGACTTATTGTTGATTTATTTATTATTAGACCATACAAACATTTATTGTGATTTATATTATTCTTTGCACTTGCTGATTGGAGCAAGTTCGAAGTTTATTTGGACTTTAATTAAGACGAACGGGGGAGGGGTGGTGAGGAACATCACAAATCACTTCCGTTCCGATTCACTTCTGTCTACAAAATGGGTCTACAAAAAGTGTCTACAAAAAATGTCTACAAAAAGTGCCTACAAAAAGTGTCTACAAAAAGTGTCTACAAAAAGTGTCCACATCTTGGCCCCTCACGATACTCATTCATTGTGCAAGCACATGAATGAGCTAAAAATTATTTTAGCTTCAAGAAGAGATATTCAGTATCCAGCATGGGATTTATTGCCTCTAATAAGAGGTTTATTTGGGCAGCTGTAGGGGCTCCTGGCTCTGTCCATGACTCGAGGCTTCTGAAAAGTTGCGACCTCTTTGCCGAGATTCAGCAGGGACATGTTTTCCCAAATACTCTGCTACGAACAAACGGGGACATACCGTGTCACAACGGTTGGTGATTCAGCATTTCCACGCTACACGTGGCTAATGAAGCCGTACAATGAAAATACAAGAGATCCAAGAAAGCGCTACTTAAGCGAGAGGCTTTGCTTGGCTAGAGTTGTGTCAGAGCGTGCATATGGTATGCTGAAAGGGAGGTGGAGAATCCTCTACAAGAAGACTGAGTGTAAACTAAAGAACATAAGGCATGTCATAATGGCCTGCATAGCCTTGCATAATATATGCATTGCAAGAGACGACCCATGCAGACCCAGGTGGAGGCTGGACATTGAAAAACTGCACCTTATTAGGAACAGGGGGAGTGTGGAGCAAGATGGCGAGGCAGATCAGGTCAGGGAAAGGATCACTAACTGGCTCTGGGATATCAACCAGCAACGACAATTGATGGAGTGAATGAAAAAATCAAAAGAAAATTCTAGCTTGTGTTTCCTGTGGTAAGGCAAAAGCCTAACAACCACTATATCCCCTATTCTACTCCACCACACTAAATAGATAGGGTATAGAACTGGAGGCAATGGACTAGAGAGTGGAACTAAACGGTGAGAATTCTTGGTGAGGATTGTAGAACTGAATATCAAGATATCTTTACTGAAGGACAAAATCCTTGGACAATATAGCAATTCAATTAGACCTGTAATACAAAATGCCTTTTCTGAATATCTTCCAGTTGATTTAAGTAAGCACGTATTAGTGCATCTCAGCCATGTTAATGGAGCTACATAGTGATACCATAAAACAGGTACTAGCTGCATAGCTAGTTGTTGACATTACAATACATGTATCACCAGTTGGTGGCCCAATTTTATATGTTTCCAAACAGCAACACTTCTGTAGAGGCTACCATGAGAACATGTAACAATAATCAGGAATCTTTTACTAAGGTTTGATTTAAAATCTTTGAAAATAGACTATAATAGTAGCCTTAATAACACAAGTCAGTGGTACACAAGAAAGCTTGTTTATTAGCCACTGGAAACAATAACAGTAGACATGCCAATTATATGAACCAAGTTGAGGGTATATTAACAAGATTTAAGTATTCTTGAAGAGATAGTGGTCATTAATTTTCTCTGGTATATTTTGAAGATGGGATAAGACAAAATTTTTTTCAGTGGGGGGGGGAGGGAGGTATGGTAACAGTTCAGCTAACCCTACCACCCCTGGTCCTGAATTTAATGACTGAAAGTAGTTCTTCTCACTCTGTTTTGACCCCTTTCTGATAAGGCTTCCCTTATTGGATCAATATGTAGAGTAGTAGATAACAATAGAGATTAATTTAATGGTAAAGATGAAACATGAGACAACTGCAAAATATCAACTTTGAATGAATTAAGAGTTCTTTAATCAAAAACTTAAAACAACAATCATGTACTCTTATGCAATAATTACGAACTCTCTTCACCTGCACCTCTCTATTAATTTGTACCCCCGCACCTACCAACCCCCACATACCAAATTGTTTAATATCGCTTCCATACACCCTTCCTGTAAGTTGCAAGTAGGTAAGCGTAAAATATCAACTTTTTGGAAACATAACATTTAGAATTGTTTCCCAAATGCATAATTCAGCAATCACATGCTTTCTACTCTTGCACCTCTCTGTATTATTTGTCCCACACCAACACAAAGACAACACACCACTTTGTTTAATATCTTTTTCATACACCCTCTTCTTGTGAGTTGTAAGTACATTTGAAAACACAACTTTTAACATAATAGAGTTTTTCCCAAATACCCTACTACAACAATCATGTCTATCAATTATATTATTAGTCTGTGAATGTAGAAAGATTTCTGGTTGTAGTTTAAAACAACAGCGTGAAATCTGCCCACATTAACAGTCTAATAAAGCGTCTCATAATTGCTGAATGACACCTCTTTAATGGGTTTTATGAAAGTAATCTACCTATTATAATTATCTAAATTTGTGTAGTGTGGTTGTTGACTCTCTGATCACCCAAGCATTTTGGTATGGTTGCCAGGCTGCTGAAAACGAGTCATCATCTCCATCATACGGAGTTCATGTTGTCGGTTCAGCTCTGCCTGTTTCTCCTGATATTGAAGGAAAGTTTCTTCTCTTTTCTGGTCTGCCTCAAGCCAAATTTGCATTCTTTTTTCATGTGCTTTTTGAAGATTCTCAAAGGTTGCTGATAACTGGCTGATAGCATCTTTCTGTGAAGTTACTTTACGTTACCTGGGCCGCACTGACACAGTTGATTTCAGTACCTTCTTCTTGGATGTCTCCTTTGAATCTACTTCACCCTCTTCACAGGAAGACTCTTTACAGTCTTTGCTCTGTGGCTGTTTTTTAGGTTTGTGGTTTTTCACCCTGTACAACACATTAAAAACAATGCCTTTTAAGGTCAGAAAAACTGAAATTTATTTTATATGTAGTGAGGCAAAGTTAAAGGGCTGACCAATAAATACTAATAAAACCATAGTTACCATGTAAAGATGCATATAGTCACTAACAATTTGACGTATAGCAATAGTTGTATATTCATGTTTCGTGTACATATTACTGACATAAATTCCTTGTATGCAATTGCATAACATCCATTATAAAATTCATTTGAAAGTCTGGGGAAAATAATACCAATTCATTATTTACCTGTTACATTCTTCTTCACTCTCATTCCCTGACAAGTGGCTTTGCCCAGAACTTGCTTCTAAAGAAGACGTACTTGAATCTAATGGCTGCTTCCTCTCACGGGGTACCATACTAGTAGCAAGCTTTATTTCTTCAATCGTGTCCTCCTTCTCATTATATTCATCATCTTCACTACTGTCGTCACTATTAAGGATGTTCGCTGCCTTTGTTGCAACCTTTAATTCTGTGTGAGTTTCGGAGAAAATCGGGTCGATGATGGTAAACCACTCAGGTTCATCTATTGCTGATTTTCCACTGCCAGACTTTGCCCTGTCCGTGAATTTTCTCCACTGTTCTTTCAACCATTTATATTTTGCTCGCAGCTTGACAACTGATGTCATGATTGCCTTCTCTTTTCCTTTCCTAGAACATGGTATGTTCTCCGTCTGCAAACGAGCATCGAGTTCTTTCTTAATATTTTGAAAAATATGAAAATTGGCTGACCTTTTAAGCGCCAGGGTCTCTAAAGTCAACGCAAATTCATTTCGGTCGTCTGTGTTGCAAATACCTTAAACTCGACTACGCGCCACTTTGTGCCACGAGTCTCCTTCGAACTATTCTTGGCTACCATGTTGTTTTGAGCGTTCAGCATAACTCGGGCCAGTTGTCTCTGGACGAGATAGGGCGAAATGCGTCCCGGCAAGGGCGTTCTGTTTTTATACTACATGCATTTAACGTCTGAGATGTTAAAGGCATCGGTAAAATGCGTCTAAACGACGCACTTAACAGAAGACGTTAAAGTTGTCAGATGTTAAATGCATTAGCCTTATTTACCATTTTTATACTTGACGTTAAAGTCGTCTCAAGACATTGTGCTTAAAACTTGCCAGCAAGCCATTATTTCTTATGTTAGCATTCATGGAATTCCAGTCCTTTATAGTCCTAATAGTGAAAGTACGACCTCCTGCTGAATTTCGTTTATACTTAGGGCACATCAGATTTATATTTGAATGTCTAGTGGCTCAATTATGAATTTCTGAATTTCTAATTTCTAATTTCTAAATAAATTATTTAAATAACTAGGCACAATATAGTTGTGGACCCGATTATACACTAGTACACATCTCTTTATTAGAGGTTGTTTAGTAAAAGGGAGCCAGTTTAGATTATTGATTAATACGACTGATGGTGTAAATCTTTTAGCATCGAGTATAATGCATGCTGCTCTTTTTTGAAGTTTTAAAATACTTTGAAGATGTTCAACATTGCAGCTATCCCATATCATGCTCCCATACAGGAGGGTGGGCTTTATAACACCATTGTAATAGGTTTCCCTTTGACATTGCATAAGAAACGGGCCAATATGCTTTAAGAGACCTATGTGTTTGGAAAGTTTCTTACATAATTCATCAATGTGCGATTTATAGTTCATTTGACTATCTATAACTACTCCTAAAATCTTATGAGAAGAAACTTGTTCAACAACAGAGTCATCAATCTTGACATCTAAGCGTAGGGGTGTGTCTTCATTTAGCTTAGCAGGAATGCGCCTTCTGTGCACTGAAAGGGGCTTGGTTTTTTCTTGTTGATGAACATTTTGTTGCAAGACGCCCATCTCTTAACCACATCAAGATTGGAATTTAAAAGTTGGGTCATCGAGCATAGATCCGAGAAATGCGCACTTGCAGTTATTGTAGTGTCGTCAGTGTAAATATCCACAGTTGAATCTGTTAGATGTAATGGAATGTCATTTACAAATAACAAAAACAGTGTGGGACCTAAGACACTTCCTTGCGGTACCCCCTGCTTGATAAGTAGAGAGTCTGATCTTTGATCATCAATACTGACAAACTGTTGGCGACCAGAAAGATATGATGTTGGCTTTTGACCTTAAACAATCTACATGGGTTTCATCTGCATCAACTCCATGGCATGTACAGGCCTCAATGAAAATAAGTATTTAATTAAAGGTCATTTCTTAGGTATTTTCATGCACTTTACCAACAGATATAAACATTCAACTCTATAAAATAAAGTCATCAATGGCTGTTTTTCACTACAGCCATGTCTACCTCAAATTTGACTTGATGCCATTCTACTTTCAGAAAACTGATCTGATCATAAATCAATGAAATAATTTAAAGCAAGGAAAATATCAAGAGAAATAATTACCCCGATTGCATCACAAAATGCACAAAATTCCACACCATATCCTTTCCCACCAAGTAGGAAATCTTCATCTTTTTTTTTTGTTGAGAAGAAGTGGCAAGGCCTTGTAATCAAGAGTCACTGCAGAAACAGGAAATTTAAGGCAACAATTACAGAATATACTTTGATGTTCATAACACACGAGACTTAACAGAATAAAAAAATTGTGTCTCAGGAAAACTCACTTCTCCACATGATATAACTTAATTTGATTAAACAATGACAATGTTATCGTGCAGTGAAGTAATAACAGGCTCTGTATGGAATATTTTCGTTTCCTTTGTTCAATGAGTAACTCTGAATGTTCAGTTCAACAGAAAGTTTGGCTACGTTGCCTACTTAATTCCAAACTTTGTCATTTTGCAGTTTACTTTTCCCCTTAACTTTCTATCTCTCTAATTAAAAATTACTTGTGAAAGAAATGTTGTACTTTTTGCTATCAACTCATATTCCATGTTATTTGATGACATCTTTCTGATTATTGAGATTCTTAAGTAACTGCTTTAAATTTGACCTAATAAAAAAGGAGAAAAAATTAAAGGGAAGACTTGCAAAAGCACCTTAAATAGTGCAATCCCACTTCTCTGACTATTCTAGTATTTACAGCAAAAATGATGGCAATAATGTAAGAGCCTTTAAAATTATTTAAAATAAGTCTCCTCTTCAAAACCAGTAACATGCACTATTGTCTGCATGCACCAGCATGTTATCCAATACACATTTCATAACTGTATTTTTTTCCTTTTTGTAAATGATTAGAAATGATCATTGTAAAATTATTTATTATAATTTTTGTTCACTGATTATTTGACCTGACTTACTCAAATCACCACTTACCTTTTCTCTTTACAGTTCCCAATTGCAAGGGGGTAAATAGACAGAGTGCTCTCAGAGCTTTTGTTTTTAAAATCAATAGGTGCCAGGCCTACAGCTACTTGGTCTTTACCTGAAATAAACCAATACAAAGACACCTTTGCTTAATTTGGCAACGAATGCACTTTCATACTTAAGACTAACAACTCTCAAAAAATTTATTAAAATGAGAACACATCTCCAAGTGGGCATCCATTGAATTTAATGTTAAACTCTTTGTCTTCTGAGTTGCATGAATGGAGGTGCTGTTTCCTAATTGCCCAGGCAAGAACAGAATTTAGATGCACATTCAAAGCATAAAATCTGTATCCTTGACCCTTGACAATTTTGAATGTTTTCTGCACTGTAGAGAAGACTAGTTTCTTCAATGCTTTTATCTCATTTTTTGTGAGCAGTACAGGCATGTCTCCAGTTCTCTGTAGAAAAATATTAACCAGTAAATAAAATAAATAACAAAATACTTAAATTTAATTAATGCAAGAATCTCTACGGTAAGTAACTCACCCCACTCTTTCCTAGTCGAGTCAAGTTCAGCAGAGTTTGCCGTGCAGTATCTGGGAGTCTAGTTTGGAGCTTAAAAAACAACAACACCCAGTCTGGTACACACATGCTTTGGAAAACATTTGCGAGTGTTTTTGGCAAAAGAAGCTTGGTCAGACCATTCCTCGAACCCTTTGATTTTGTACTAATTAGATCAACGACTTCTGAGATGATACCCTGTACTTTTTCCCTTTCCCCATCTGTTCTGTACAAGAAGCTGTTTACAAGGAAAGCAGCAATGTACTCATTGTATCTCTCAGAAACGTCATCAAGGACAGCTGTTATCTTCCTGCACCTTTGAAAAACTTTTCGTTTCTTGTTTATTGTTCCTAAATCAGGTTTGTTCTTTGTGTCATCAATTGAACTACACAAGGAACTGGACGAACTTAACGGAGTAGATGAGCAACATGGGGAATTAAGAAGGGAAGAATCATCTAAACTCTCCTCTGTGCTCAATTTGAGATGGGAAATCCGTGCTTGAAGTTCCTGCACTTCCACTTCAAGGGAATTTATTCTGGCTGATCTTTTGGCAAGCAAGGAAACAAGCTCCTCGGAGTCTTGACCGATTTTGGTGCGAAAAGATAAATTTTTCACACCCTGGACTCAGTCTAGTGTGGCAGCGTTCATCAGATTTACAATAGCCATAAATCCCGCAGAATTAATGAGTTCATTGCGAATTTTTTATTGCAAAGAGGACCAGCAACCAGACTGAATGTGGACACAACATTGACGACGTCAGGGATCCTGTCCATCTCCACAACTCCAAATGATGATTTGGCAGGCTGAAGTTCCCGCGTAGTTGCACATTGGATTTCTTCAGGAAATATCTTATCTAAAATTTATGCAGAGGGACGCCACATACCTCTTTCAAAAGTAGATACCAATACCTGGAAGGGTCAAGTGTGGCACTTGTAACCCTGCAAAGATTCTGAACAGTAAAGTCAACCGGGGGCAGGTTGTTGCTCAGGTCGTATGGCACGTGAAAATAACGATATCTTTTGTTGCTGTTTTGTGGCAAACCAAGTGAGAGAATACATAAATAATTGAAACAGAGACTTTAATAAATACAGCACCTAGCAGGTATTGCCTCTTCTTTGAAAAGGGTGGATCTGAAATAGACCACGTGATTAGAAACGTCATAATAATAAGGAAACAGGTGGGATCAGAAAGAACGTAGTTTTTTAATGAGCATTACACACAGCAAATTTTCTAATATTTCATGACTTTGATTATCATTGTTAAGAAATGACCCCACATTAACATGCACACAATCGTGTATCTCTCGTGGATTCGTGGGCGCCAAGTCTATGTAATTACATCGCAGTGTAATTTATGTGATGACATCCACCCAACATCTTCTTCCCCAGCCCTTGGTATCAGTATACAATGCCTGCTGTGAATTCTTTTCTTGAGCAAAGCTTGTCATTTATAGGTGAAGAAATACAGTAGGTATGGTGAGTCCCAATAGTTTCCCGGCAGATTCTTCCAGTTGTAATCTGGGAGGTGCAGAAAAATGGCAAAGAAGTGCTTGCAAGGTGAGCACCTTTGCTGCTATGCCTCACATTTGCATGGGGGCAATGTCCCCAAACTACAGCCGGTACCACTGGTTACTTGACAATTCACTTTGAACTTCAAGTACACCTCCAGTGTCTGATGGCTGGATGCTGCTCTTGTTTATATCCATTGCGAGACTGATTTTCTTCTTTGCAATGAACCACAAAATATATTGGCCTGGTGAAGAGGAATTGCTGTAACTCTCTTACATGCTCTGTACATTCTGTGACATCTGACACTTTTGTTCACATACCTGCATGAAGTAAAAGATGACAAGAGGTTAACCATTTTAGCATGGGCGGAGCAAGTTTAGTGTATATAACTTTTGCTGTCCCCCTGTGTCAGTTGCGTATGTTTTTTTCACGTAGCTACAACTATGGGGAGCACATACCAATATTACATGACTACTACTGGAAAGCATAAGGTCGTTAAATGAATGGTGGTTCTCTTTTTTATTATTATCTCTTGATGAACCCACCATACGCCCCTCAGTAACTAAAGAATTACTTTGAGTACTTTTCTGGTAAAAACTCAGTGATAAGCATGGAGAGCATTCCACACAGGGTCTTATGGTTTGCCAGGTGGTTGTAATTAAAATCCTAGCTTTGTCTTTCAAGACTGTTGTTGGTGTCGACAGGTACTAGGAGACAATCTTTCTGAAAAGGCTAAACCCATCTCAGAAAAGAAAACATAAACCAGCATTTGTACGAAATGACAAATTTGTCAACGTAGCTTTTTTTTAGTAAGGCATCTTAAAATAAAAGCTGTCCCAATGGATCCAGATTTCTAGGGGTATTGGTTTTCTGGCTTCTCAAACTTAAACCGTTACTTTTCCATCCCAATTATTCACCATCCAAAATATTTGAATTGTGTCATGCAAAAAGAGAATTCATTAGATAGAATCAATCAGCATGGACTTTTCAAGGGGAGGTTACAGTTCTATTCATCAACCCTCACTATTTCAATCTCACCACCATCTTTTTAACTTTATATCAAAGAAAGAGTAGACGTTTGTGCTTAAGGATGACGACTGATTGCTGTAGAAACTAATCTCTTCCTCTGCCAGCCACCTGTCTTGGAAACTGTGACATAAGGCTCTGTTGCTTTTCCAAACATGGAAATCACCTAGCATTGGGATAGCTGACTCAAATTCCTCCCTAGTGGAAGGATGTGCTGTTCTTTGCAGTAAGGCAAGCAGTTCTTCATCATGTGCCACAACACAATTAGCCATTTTACATGCCCATTGCTCCCAGGCTTGTCCCCAATGGAAGTCGCAAGGCAGTACATTGCATTCTAGAATATATTGAAAAAGTGTCTTTAAATATGAATCCATCCATCTCACAGACAAATACAGATGGCCATTCTTGCTAAAGAACGAGGAGAACGTCAAACAAGAATGTGGTCCGATGAACTAGTATCAGGCCCTTATTGGGCATATGAGACTTAGTGTCCATTCCTTATTGTGTAATTTTGTTCTTTCCTAGTCTTCAATAGGTAGGTTTTCTAGTCTGTGGCCAAAAAAGGGAATTACTCATTTTTGGAAATCTCAGGCTGTTATTTTCAGAGACATACCATCTATGGGGGCCCATCCTGGTCAAAATTATATGAATTATTTTACTAAAACATACTTATAAAACTGTTTGTTTAATTAATTTTTATGGTGTTTCATTAATAATTACATCTACCCTTTGAATTACTTTTAGATCTTTGCTTTTTCATCCATCTCATGAATTATTTTTTCCTGTGCACGAATTTCTTGGCAAATCCTGCACACCATTGCACCATTGCCCAAAATGCTATTGTCTTTCACAACATGTACTTACAGTGCCCAGTTTTTAATATGCGGCATAATAATTTGCATATCCAGAATTAGTCAGCTATGACTGGTCAACAGATTTTGCTTTGGGAATACTCGAGTCTCTTTGGAGATTTTAACTGCTGTCAATCAAACGGTTGGATGAGTGAGCCAAAATCCCAAGATGCAATAATGTTAACAATAGTGTCTAACTAAGGGTGGGCTGCGCTCTTTACCAGGCACTTTAATAGTCACTTAGCTTCATGTGCAGCAATATCTTTTAATTTTGCACTATAGACCGCCATCAAAATGTTATCTGGGTGAGTTGAAATAGTTTTTTGTATAGAATACAGAGTTTTAAATGTGTTGCTCGGATAATGAACGTGATGCAGACATTAACTGCTCTTTTTTCACTTACTTTGCTGATGTTTTAAGTGACTCGATGGATTTCAAATAGTCTGAAATATTTTTATTCTGCTAAGGCAAATATAAAAACATTGCAAGAGTGAGCCTGATGTGCAGGTCACTCACTCGCACTTCACAATTCCACTCTTACACACTACAACAGGTAAATGCAGTCCAGATCTAGAGTTTTCCAAGTTTTAGAAAACGGTGTAGTGTTTTGTTTGCTTGTAGGCTAGGGAAAAGGGAAGTAAGCTCTTTGAAGTCAAAACAAGCCATGAAAGGCAAGCGCCCACCTCCAGGTTGCAAACGCATGAGGGAACAGTTTGTGTTTAGATAATTTATTCAAATTTGGATCCATTTTGATTGTTCAAGACATTAAAAAGGTTAAGTTTTAATCAGTCCATTCAGTTGCTATCAACTACTTTCGAGACAAAGTGTCGGAGCATTCCAGGCATCCACTGGACTTTTATGGGTCATTACTCAGTGATGATCGTGATCATAGCTTCAAATTGAAATATCGACCTCAGACAAAACCTATTGTTATGGGTTTTTACAAAAGTTGAGCACATAGTTGCAAAAAGACATCAAAGAGGTAAAGCAGTGTACTTCATTCAGTGGAAGAATTACTCACCAGCAGAAAACACGTGGGAGCCAGCTGAACACCTAACCAAAGAGCTTTTGTGCATTCACTTTGTCTCGATGAATCCAGAAACAGCCCCACTCTTCTATTCAAGAGGGGCTTGAAATCGCCCTTAAGCTGCAACAAGACCATCACAATGCACCACAATGTACAACGATCGATGTTTCCTGATATGTCGTTGGACCTCCGAGCAGCTTCATGCATGCTCAGCGAAGAGGAGCTGACAAGAGTGGGTCTTGGTTCTTCCCTGAAGAAATGTATGACGGTAACAGGTGGAGGTTATCTTCCCCATCCAGTGGTGAGAGCCCAAGTAAAGTTCATGAAGAGCTATTTTACTGGAAAAAATACTACTTTTCATAATAATCAATTTTTCGGCAGCATGAAACAACAACTGGAAATTTCAGCTGCGTCCGCAGGCCACCTGTCTTATCAAAGGGCGATTTTCTTGCATTTTGGAAAAAATTAACCATGGGGAAAATTAAGGGACAGCAATAAAGTCGCATTCCCTCTAGAAGAAAAAACAAACTTTCTGCACCATCCTCATTCAGTCAATTTGGCTCATGCAGGATTGTTATAGACTGTACTGACATAGAAGTGGCTGCTCCTGGATTGATGAGCCAACAAAATGCCACATACTCATCCTACAGAGGAATGAACTCTTTCAAGGTGATTATTGGTGTTGCACCAAATGCTGTCATCACTCATGTCAGTAATTTATATCCAGGATCCATTTCAGACAAGGCTATTGTTAAGCAGTCTTGTCTGGTAAATCATTTCAGTGCTGGTGACATGATCCTTGCTGACAAGGGGTTTCTTATCCAGGATATTCTACCCAATGGTGTCTCTGTTAACATTCCACCTTTCCTGAACAGTGGAACATTCACAGAAAGTGAGGCAAAGGCAACCAAGGCTGTAGGCAAATGCCACATCCATGTAGAGAGAGCCAATGCTAGACTGAAAGACTGTAGAATTTTAAGCTTTATTCCATCTTAGTGCGCTGTTATGCTGACATTCTTTTGCAATTGTGTGCTGCACTTGTCAATTTGCAGTTTCCTTTAATCGAAGAAGGTTGTGGGGATATGATTTTTGATTAATAATATTGTTTTGAACACTACTAGGTGGGCTGGATAATAAAACTGTTTAAGAAAATATATGAATGGGTTTGAGGAATTGTAGCTTAAATATATTGCAAGGAGTTAAGGCTAGCCTTTCCTAAAATCTCTTCAGCAAATATATCCACACAGGATTACTTTTAGTAGTAAATTATGTGACAAAAGAAAAACTTTAGCCTACAGTCCTGCACTTTTCACAATCTTAACATTAAAGTTGAATTTTTGTCAAATTTACAGGGCAAACTGACCTCCACTTAAAATAATACTGGAGTCTGCCCAAAACAAAAACAATTTGATGGTATTCATTTGGCATTTAATAATTTAGTCATTCCCTTTCATCCAATGGTCAAAAATTTTATTATTTCATGGAATCAACAATTTATCAAAAATAATATATTATATATTATTGGGAATCACAGCCAAACCCAAAGAAAGTTCTTGAGAAAAAATTAAGGGGAGGAGCAGGCCAGGCAGAGGTTTCATAGGGGGTCGAGAGCAAGGCAAATTGACCGGCTGTGAGGAGAATTTGACGGCCTGGTTTGACAATCTTGAGCAAAGTTTATCTCACGAAGAAGTTCAGGTCAAAAAGCTTTGTAGTCCTGTGAAAACCAGTTGCCCTCCTGTTGAAAATGTTCATGAAACCCACAGTGGCATGAAAAGCCTTCTACACCACACAAATCACCATTGAAATATGTCCCAACCTTAACAATTTAATTAAAATAAATTATTAATATTACTCTACAATTCTCATTCAACTATTTTGGGGAAAATAAAATTGTGTTAAAAGTGGGATGTTTGCTGCCCAAGATTCATCCCTTTCTATTTTTAAAACAGCTACATCCTTTGTGGTCCACACAACAAAATAACAAAATTTTCGCGGAGAAAAATACATTTCTCCCTGGACCTGGTACCAGTAAACATGCTCCTTCTTCAATACATACTCTCCACTGTCAGATTTATCGAGGCAAAATGTTGCTTTCAGTGTATGGGCACTTGGCCTCAAGAGCAGTTTCATGGTCAACAATCCCATCAGGGGAAGCACCAAGAATACCAGAGGAATGAAACCAGATTGCAGTTTCTTTAACTGTTTTCCCTGTCTTCAAGGTGAAGGCCTTGATAGCTTCCTCTTCATTGTTAACTCCCCATTGTACTGCTTTCACTCTTGAGAGGTCATATTCTCCAAGAAGGCGTTTCAGAAGTGAGGGAGTAACTTGCTTGGCTTTCAGAACACTACCAAAGTTGCTGGCAGTAAGACGGCCCCTCCTTGTCAAATGCCAGGCAGGATTGTCACGCTGGCCAACAGTGACCCTACTGATTTTCAATATATCTTCTTCAAGTATTCTGGATCGTCGAACTAAACAGTCCAGTTGTTGAAGCCCTCTGGTTTGGAGAAACTCTTCTGAAAATATTATATCCTCTATTGTTGGAATTGGTAGTTCGTTAAAAGCAGGTGGCTCTGAGCTGAGCAGCCAGCAAAGGCCTGTAAACCTTCCATATTGTTTAAGGTCTTTTTACAGCTGTGCTCTGTCAACCTGTACTGGCTTTCTTCCCAAGGCAGTGTACTTCTAAGGTGGAGGGAACATTTCTGTCACAGCTTGAGCTGAGAGCGATGTGTTCGATATCCTTTTCCTCCACTGACACTCAACGTCAGTTCTGCTTAGATTATGGATGCCGTGTATAAAGAGTGCAGCTGCATGGCTACACTTAAATGCTCCTCTTGGGCATTCACAGTCAGACAACTTAATTTCGTGTTGCTCATCCAAGTAAATCTAGGAAAAGAAAACAAGGAAAGAACATCATACCAATGAATTGGATTCAGGTGGTTCCAAATGATAACAACTATGTGCTGCGTTAAAACCACGCTATGAAGTAAACAAATCACTACAAAAATGTTTGTTCAGTTGCCATTACGTTTGAAAATATGGTAAGTAGGAATTTGGCGGCTAAGATCGCCTTTACCATCTCTAATCATGCAAAGAAGTGAAAGAACCAAACAAATCTACCTAAAACAGAACTGTAAATCGGACTAAATCTTGAGCTCTGTTGAGTGATTTTAATAGAAGATGTTAGCTAAGTTTGAGTTAATTCACCGTGACTTTATAGACCTTCTTTTTCATGCTTGCCTGCACTTCCCCGCGTAAAACACCTTGTTGATACAAAAGTGACTTCACATGATCTGATTTGTAGTGGTTTTCTCCTTTTCTGATAGACTTCTTTTCTTCCGAGAAGAAAGAAATCAGTGAAGCGATCGACAGCGACGCCAT